GCATAGTGTGCAGATACAGAGTTAGAACAGATAACTTAAAATTAAAAATTATTACTCCAACGTAAAAAGAGCACTCATAGGCTTCAAAATAAACAAAAGTGCAGATTTATTTTAAGCAGATGTGCCTTTGCATGTAATCAATGTTTCAGTCCAACTACCTTGACATATTAAGGAAAGCTTGTTAATGGGACTGAAATGGTGAATGTATTTAGGGCACAACTGTAAAAAATATTTATTTTGAAGTCCTGTGGGTGTGCTCTTCACTTTAAATATGTTATTGTGCTGGAGTATGCACCTAGCAACAAGATTGGGCCAATATCTGCTCATTACATATGGTACATATTAATGAAATTTCTCTGTGTATTATGCATATATAAATGTACATTAATATGTGTAAATATAATATATATATATATATAACTAATATACACACATTAATATATACATGTCATATATCAGTGACGGATCCAGAACCTGAGCCTGGGAGGGACACTTGTAGATTATTTAAAGAAATATTTCATGCACAATAACCACTACTCCTCTGTGTAGTGGTTATGGTGCCAGGAGTGTCAGCACCCCCTCCCAGAGTAAGTAGTCAAACCGTTTAAGAACAGTTTGACAACTTACCTGGAGTCTGCTGGGATATGGGGCTGTAGTAGGGTATAGGAGCAGTGGTGCAATGTGTGAGGGGTGCAATGTGTGTGAAAGGTTCAGTGTGTGGGTGTGGGGGCAGTGTGTGAATGTGTATGGTGTGTGTGTGTGGGGGCAGTGTGTGAATGTGTATGGTGTGTGTGTGTGGGGGCAGTGTGTGAATGTGTATGGTGTGTGTGCATGTGGGCAGTGTGTGTATGGGGCTAGAGTTCACTCCTACTACTGCGACCACCAGGAAGTGGTGAGAGTGAACTCTAGCCCGTAGCTCCAGGGCTAGAGTTCACCCTCGTGAGAGCCGGAGCGTTGCCCCGGGTCCTCTCTTTCTCCCCCTCACTGCTCCTCTGTGTCAATGTCTCCCCTCTCCTTCCCAGTCTCTCTCTTCCCCCTCTGCCTCTTTCTTCCCCTCCCCTTGTGTGTCTCTCTCATTTCTCCCTCTTTGTCTCTCTCTTCCCCCTCTGCCTCTTTCTCCCCCCGCGAGGGAGCATGGTAGACAGGCTCCTCCTCCATCAGCAGCCAGTGACTGGAGTGCTGCCGGACCGGCGAAGCGGCCACCCGGCCCGGCGGCTCCAGTCTGGAACGCGGCCGGCCCCCTCTCAGAGTGCCACCGGACCGGCCACCCGGTGGCACCCATGTGTCAGCACAGCCCCCAGGTGCCGCGGCCCACCGGGAAATTTCCCGGTATCCCGGTGGGCCAGTCCGGCCCTGTCAAGCAGTGATTTGTTATAAGTGCGATGATTATGGTTTACAGCTCATGAAAACCCCAAATCCACAATCTCAGTAAATTAGAATATTGTGAAAAGGTGCAATATTCTAGGCTCACAGTGTCCCACTCTAATCAGCTAAGTAAGCCATAATACCTGCAAAGGGTTTCTGAGCCTTTAAATTGTCTCTCAGTCTGGTTCAGTAGGAATCACAATCATGGGGAAGACTGCTGATCTGATAGTTGTGCAGAAAACCATCATTGACATAAGGAGGGAAAGCCTCAAAAGGTAATTGAGAAGGAAGTTGGATGTTCCCAAAGTGCTGTAGCAAAGCACATTAATAGAAAGTTATGTGGAAGGGAAAAGTGTGGAACAAGCAGCAGGGATGACCGCAGCCTGGAGAGGATTGTCAGCAAAAAGGCCATTCAAAAGTGTTGGCGACTTTCACAAGGAGTGGACTGAGCCTGGAGTCTGTGCATCAAGAGCCACCACACACAGGCGGATCCTGGACATGGGCTTCAGATGTCGTATTCCTCTTGTCAAGCCGCTCCTGAACAACAAACAAAGTCAGAAGCGTCTTAGCTGGGCTAAAGTAAAACAGACCTGGTCTGTTGCTCAGTGGTCCAAAGTCCTCTTTTCTGATGAGAGCAACATTTGCATCTCATTTGGAAACTAAGGACCCAGAGTCTGGAGGAAGAATGGAGAGGCACACACTGCAAGATGCTTGAAGTCCAGTGTGAAGTTTCCACCGTCTGTGTTGATTTGGGGAGCCATGTCATCTGCTGGTGTTGGTCCACTGTGCTTCATTAAGTCCAGGGTCAACGCAGCCGTCTACCAGGAGATTTTGGAGCACTTCATACTTCCTTCCGCAGACAAGCTTTATAGTGGATGCTGACTTCATTTTCCAGCAGGACTTGGCACCTGCCCACACTGCCAAAAACACCAAAGCCTGGTTCAATGATCATGGGATTACTGTGCTTGATTGGCCAGCAAACTCGCCTGACCTGAACCCCATAGAAAATCTATGGGGCATTGCCAAGAGAAAGATGAGAGACATGAGACCGAACAATGCAGAGCTTAAGGCCGCTATTGAAGCATCCTGGTCTTCCATAACACCTCAGCAGTGCCACAGGCTGATAGCTTCCATGCCACGCCGCAAAAGGGGCCCAAACCAAGTACTGAGTCCATATGCATGCTTATACTTTTCAGAGGTCCAATATTGTTCTATGTACACTCCTTGTTTTATTGATTGCATGTAATATTCTAATTTACTGAGATTGTGGATTTGGGGTTTTCATGAGCTGTAAGCCATAATCATCGAACTTATGACAAATCACGGCTTGAACTATCTTGCTTTGCATGTAATGCGTCTATCTCATATATTAGTTTCCCCTTTTATGTTGCATTACTGAAATAAATGAACTTTTGCATGATATTCTAATTTTTCGAGTATCACCTGTACATCTCTTATTTCAATTCCTACTCTGAAATTAAATATTATCCAAAATGCTAAGTTAAAAGGACAGTATAGTCGCCAAAACAACTTTAGCTTAACCCCTTTTCCGATGAAGGCTTAGGTATGCCATCCTACAAAAGGGTTTTAACGCCGTAGGGCGGCATAGAAGGCCCTAGCAATTAGGTCCTCCCCCATCCCAGATACTTAGCCTCCTTCTATTGGGGATTTGCCTGACAACACAGACAGTCCCCCTGCAGCCAATCCAGCCCATCCAGCCCATCCATATCATGTGATCGCAATGACACTGCGATCATATGACTCAGATCAGCTTGATTGGCAGATTCACTGCAGGGGGACTGCCTGGGTTGTCAAGCAGATTCCCAATATAGAATTAGTAAAATTACTCAATTATGTTAAAATAATAAATAAATATACACTTAGAATGAAATTACATATATATGTGTGTATATACAGTCATGTAATGAGAAAAAGAAAGTACACTCTTTTAATGCTATAGTTTTACAAATCAGGATATAATAACAATCATTTGTTCCTTATCAGGTTTTAAAATTAGGTAAATACAACCTCAGATGAATATAAATGCATGACATATTACACCGTGTCATGATTTATTTAACAAAAATAAAGCCAAAATGGAGAAGCCATGTGTGAAAAACAGGTGCAGGAATCCTTATTAATCCCTGGTGGTCCAGTGGTTGAACTTGTGGTCTCCTTCATGGTCTGTAACCCTTTTTTTCTCTCCCTGTCTTCTGGTGCTTTAACAATGAGTCGGAGTACTGACATGGTAGCCCATGGCAATGCTCTGATTCACTCAAAAGCACTGGATCATGAGGGATAGCTCCCTCTGGTAACTGCAACCGCTGGAAGTGCAGATCACAGGCTTTCACGTGTGAGATCTTTTAATATTTCTCTCTGGCATATTTGGGCATGGCAACTGCATGTGCCAGGCGAATACAATTCATGTGTCATGCATGGCACATAGATTGCAATCGCTTGGCACACACAGTGCAAAACCCAATAGGCCATATGGACCCCTCTTCTAGGCATTGTATAAGCCAACATAAGAGTAACTAGGGTTATACACTAATCAGCCAAGACATTTAAACCACCTGCCTAAAATCATGTATGCATCCAAAACAGCTTTGATGCATCAAGGCATGGACTCCACAAGAACGTGTCCTGTGATGTCTGGCACAAAGACATTAGCAGCAGACCCTTTAAGTCATGTAAGTTGTGAGGTGAGGCCTACAAGTAACCGATTTGTTGCTCCAGCACATCCCACATGCTTAATGGGATTGAGATCTGGGAAATTTGGAGTCCAAGGCAACACCTTGAAATCTATGGCATGTTCCTCAAACCATTCCTGAACTATTTTTGTAGGGTGGCAGGGTGCATTATCCTGCCATAATAGGCCACTACCTCCAGGGAACACCATTGCCATTAAGGGATTTGCATGGTTTGCAATAATATCTAGGTAGATGGAACATGTCAAAGTAACATCCACATAAATACCCAAGGTTTTCCAGTAGAACATTGACGAGAGCATAACACTGCATCCGCTGCATCTGCCTTCTTCTCAAAGTGCATCCGCTGCTACTGCCATCTCTTCATGGGTAAATGATGCACACACACCCGGTCATCCAGCTGATCTAAAGAAAGCATGATTCATCAGAGCAAGCAACCTTCTTCCATTGCTCCACGGTCCAGTGCTGATGCTTACATCCCCAGTGAAGATGGTTTCTGCAGTGGACAGGAGTTATCATGGGCACCTAGACTGATTTGTGGCTATGCGGCCCCATACATAGCAAACTGTGATGCTCTGTGTGTTCTGACACTTTCCAATCATCACCACCAATTTCTTCAGCAATTTGAGCTATATTCGCTCTTTGGTTTGAACGAACCAGACAGGCTAGCCTTCGTACCCCACGTGCAGCAATGAGCTTGGGGTGCCCATGACCCTGACGCTGGTTCACCAGTTTTACCTCCTTGCACCACACTTGCTGTCTAATATATCCCACCCCTTGGCTGGTGCCATTGTAACAATATAACCATTATCTTCACCTGTCAGTGTTTTTAATATTGTGACTGATCATATGTGACATTTTCTTTCATTTGTGTTTAATATACTTAGATCTTTGTTTGATATACTATTGTTTGTTTTATTTATACACAGCAATACTATGAAGTTCCCATTGTAATGAAGTCAGTGTTCGACATAGTAGATACTTTCCAGTCCAGACTCAAGGAAATGGAAAGGCAAAAAAGAGAAGGAATTACATGCAAGAAGGAAGACAAGACGAGGTCCTTAGAGAACTTCCTTTCTAGGTAAATATATATATAGATAGATATACCTGTATATGTATCCGAGTTTTGGCTGATTTACTTGGTTATTTGCTATGCTAATATTAATCCTCCATGTTCTGGATTAACTTAAGTAGCCATCCATGTGTGCTTTTGCATGTGGTGTAGATCACTTTGTGGTGCAAACATTTTTTCAGGATCTACCTTATTATCAAGACTAATGTTTAACCTTCATGACAAAGTCTGTGTGTGGTATGAAGATGCTATTAATGTACTTAACAAGCTCAGTACCACGTATGGACTAGGTTTAAATGCCATTAATATTGCCACTATTGACACATCACATAAAATGGCTGTATGGAGGTCCTACAATGAAGGTCCTACAATTCAGGTGATTGGAGACTCTATGGAGATCTTACAATGCATGGAGGCTGTATGGAGGTCGTACAATGGAGGTCCTACAATGCAGGTGATTGGAGGCTGTATGGAGGTCCTACAATGCACAGAGGCTATATGGAGGACCTACAATGCAGTTGATTGTGGGAACAGCGGACCCCATTCTTATCATCATCACAAAGTAGTAGGGCCTCCATTACAAGTTGTACACTCCACGCTCTCAGTGTTAACCTCATGTACATGCTGTTACTGGACAGTCTGAATCCTGAGACTGTCCAGAAGCAAGATCTAGACTAGAGCTTGTCACAGCCATAGGTTCACTGTGATCACAGTAGTTATCCCCCCAATTCCTGCATGGAATGTTAGGATTAGCTGTCAAACTGAAGGACTGCATCACAAAGAGTCAGTCCAGCAGTAATCCCTGATTGGCTACCATCCTGACCCTGTGAGTTATTTACAGTAATAACCTAAAAATAAACTAAACTGTCAGTCAAGGCAGGTTATTACTGTGATTGGCTTCCAGGGTGATAAATCAGCCTGGGGGATCAATCTACTAAAATGCATAGCTTGGGTTAAACTTAATGTTAGGTTTAGGGTTAGCATTAGGGTTACAATTAAGGTTATGGTTAAGAGAGGGTTAAAAAAAAAAAAAAAGCTGTGGTGCTGGTCAATATGCTGACACAGATAGTGTAACCACCAAATAGTGTATCTGTAAAGCAGGTATAGCGGCATGTCAAAATTAGGGCACATCTCTAATGCAAAACTGTAAATTACCACCAAACCTAGCAAAGATGCACAAGTTGGTCAGTGTTGCACTTAGCGCCAGTAGCAGAATACAAATCAGGGGTCTTTACAGTAGTGGGACAAAAATGGTCTGTGAAATTAACCAAGAAAATGACACATTTGGGAAAATCACAAAAAAAAGAATCAGGTATACCCAGTAGTTTTAACTGGGTTAGTGGCAAAATGGTTAAATGAACACTGTCAACATACTGATAAATAGCCTGATGCATCTATTTTCTACAAGCATATACTTTTGAGTAACACATTTGTATTCTGCGACTGCTATAAAGGTTAAAGTGTTAGCATGCCAAATTTGGCAAAGATTTAGTTGTAAAACTGTAATTCATTGCTTGCCATATTTGTCCTGTAGTGGCCAAAAAATTTATTGAAATCCTAGACATATGAGGCATTTTCACAATGGGCACTAATAAGTGAATCTATTTAGACAATATTTTATTTAGTTGCACTAGCTGTGTAGAAGTTATTATGAGCAAAGCTTTTAAAACCACTTATTTTTAATACTTTGGTAATAATTAGTACATGTTAGGAATACATAAAGGGTGTCAGAAGAACACCCTATCTGTCCTCTTAAAAACTGTTATATGTTATGTATGGGTAAATATGATGGGATACACCTCTAGAAAACATGCCAAAAAAGCCTTTATCTAGTAATATCAGCATTTGGGAAAAGGCTCAGTCATGAAGGGGTTAATATTTCAGTATCAGATACTTATATTTATGTGAATCAACTGCCTACTTGATGGGATTTGTGGTATACTTGCTTCCATTTCTGGATTTTGTGTTAAACTGCTAGTGCGTTAGTGCTCCCCCTGCAGGATGTTTGCTACATTTTTCAAGTGTGGTTTATTTTTAAGCATAGTGTTCTGTTAAATTAGGTAAACAGATATTAGAGTTTGCCTTGAGTACAGTTTTGTGAAAGAAATAAGAGTCTGGTGAAAAACCCGATACCATGGTTATTGTTAAAATATGCATTCGTTTTACAGTTGACTGTTCATGTTCTCCATGTATGCAAATTATCATGAAAACTGTATGGTGTTTTTATAGGCTAATAACTAAAATATAGTGCTCAATCGCTTGTAGCAAAGAATGGAAAATAGTAATGAAGAATCAGGCAGTGAACTAGTGAAAGTGTTCAAACATACTATCAGTGTTATTTACTAAAGTGGGAATTCAAAGTGAATTTTAAATGTAAGGCAAAATAGCCAAACTGGAAACATTATCTTATTCAGCTATGCTTCCAGTTTAGCTACTTTTGCCAAAGATTTGAAATTCACTTTTAACTCTCACTTTAGTGAATAACCTTTTATATTTTTTTAATTCATTCATAAATCTTATATACACACGAGGGAGACAGGATGATCCTTATTATGGTAAAATAATGACTTCAAGGAATTCTGGTGACATCAAAATGAACCATTGGACTGATTAGTCAATTAGTTTTATAAGTATTTACCGAACTCTGACATGATATCATTTTCCTATATTGCACATTTCAACATATTTTATCTTTTATATCATGTGATATTTTTCGGCTACAGTTAACAGTTAAACGAACACTATAGGGTCAGGAACACAATGGCGTTATATAAATAATATAATAATAATAATAATAATAATAATATTTTCTTGACCCTATAGTGTTAAAACCTCCATCTACCCCTCCTCCTCCCCGACCCCCCTTGCCCTCCCCATATATAATATAATCTTACCTTTACTCCAGTCTGCGGCTGCTACTGCTACTGCCGGCTCTGCCCCTGATCTGCCTGCTTGACTGACATCATCAGAAGTGTTGCTCAAAGCCAATCACAATGCTTTCCCATAGGAAACCATTGGATTGTCTGAGACTGTCAAGGAGGCAGATCAGGGGCAGAGCCAGCACAAGTCAAACACAGCTCTGGTCAATCAGCATCTCCTCATAGAGATGCATTGAACAAATGCATCTCTATGAGGAAAGTTCAGTGTCTCTATGGAGAGGGTGGAGACACTGAATGGCAGTTCCCCAGGAAGGATCTCTAGCAGCCATCTGAGGAGTGGCCAGTGAAGTTATCACTAGGCTGTAATGTAAACACTGCATTTTCTCTGAAAAGATAGTGTTTACAGCAAAAGCCTGAAGGGAAAAAATATATACTTACCAGAACAAATACAATAAGCTGCAGTTGTTCTGGTAATTATAATGTCCCTTTAAGTGGTAGCTTTAGTGTTTAGTGGGTATAATGGGAGTTACTCCGATGCCACAATTTCTGTTGGTCTTGAGGTAAGTGTTTTTTTGTTTTTTTTTCAAAACACAATCAGACAGCATATCAAAACCAAACTAGGTCTTGAGCTAAATCACTTGCAAAACATAGGAAGATTCAGGTACTTGAAAAAAACCTTATTAGGAACTCCCTGTTAAGAAATTACATTGTTTCAGTCAATTAAGACCTTTGTCTAGTCATTAAGGTTGAAAAAGGCCTTACTTGGCCAAAACGTTGACACTTCTAAACTTCAACAGTTCCTAATAAAATCTGCACAAAAAAAGTTTTTGGAGTGCCCAGAACCTTTTCTGTTTTGGAAGTCTGGCTAGGAGTATGCCGGCCCCATGTTACACTAACCTATAACCCGTATAACATTGCAATACACTAACCTTGAACCTATGGACTGTCCTAGCGAACGCTAAAACTAATGCTTAATACATTCACTTTCCTAACACACTTACACTCCCCATAACCCTTTATCTCTACACCACAATAATACTTACAATAACATTGACAACGAACCCCTACACTACCCTAACACTACAGTTGATCCCACACTGAAATAATACTTACATTATCACTAATCCCTACATTACCCTAACACATTACCCAAAGGGTAGGCAACCTTAGGCACTCCAAATGTTGTGGACTACATCTCCCTTGATGCTTTGCCAGCATTATGGCTATAAAACATTATGGGAGATTTAGTCCACAACATCTGGAGTGCCGGAGATTGCCTACCTCTGCACTGTACAAAATAACTGAATTGTCTATTTTCAACTTCCTTAACGAAACACACAAAACATTGCAAAGTCCATATTGATACTATAAGTTGCTGACTCATTTTTTAGCATCATCAATGCACTTTGTGATCTGTAACCCTCAACTTGTGATGTAATCAAAAATCCCACAATGGTGCCAGTTATTATTTTGTTAAAGGGACACTCCAAAGCCCTAAAACACTTTGGCTTGCTGAAATGCTTTATGTTGAAGACTGAATAGTTTGTCCTCTTTTTTTCCATTTAAAAAAATTTGTGGATTTCAATAGAAATGTGTACTTTTATAAAGTAATCTTGGTACACCCCCTTGCTGTCAGTCAGACGAACGGTCCTCTTACTTTCTGGTATGGTTAGCTCAGAGGAGCTAAACTCAAGAGGCAGCAATTGACTAGAACACCTGCCTTGCAAAGACTTCTCATTAAGCTGCATTGGGAAGCCTGTGATTGTACAGCCATAAAAAGTCTGGGCTGGCATAGAAAGGTTTGTAAAGGCAGAAGAAAAAAATATCTGCACATTTTGCAAATTGTTTTTGGATATAGGATACCGTATATACTATACTTGTGCTAAAAACCCCAACTAATACTTGAGTCAGTCTGTATTGTGGCAACTTACATTGCCACAATACAGACCAGGACCGCCGGGCTCATTACAAGCCCGGCGGTCCTGTTGGGGGCTGACAGTGAGCTGTTACTTACCTTCCTGCAGCTCCCTCCTCCTCCGTGCAGCTCCTCTGTCAGCTCCCCCCACTGAACTGCCAATGCCACTGGACCACCAGTGATTTAATATTATTAAGATAATATAATATTATTTTATTATTATATTATTTTAATATTTGCCTTATTTTTTTTTAAATGTTTTTTTTTGTCCACCCTCCCTGCTTGTTGCCTGGTCAGGGAGGGGGGACAAAAAAACATTTAAAAAAAAAAATAATGCAAATATTAAAATAATAATAATATAATAAAATAACATTATTAAAATATAATATTTAAATAATAATATTATTATATTATTATTATTTTAATATTATATTATTTTAATAATATTATTTTATTATTATATTATTATTATTATTATAATATTTGCATTATTTTTTTTAAATGTTTTTTTGTCCCCCCCTCCCTGACCAGGCAACAAGCAGGGAGGGGGGACAAAAAAACATTTTAAAAAAAATAATATAATATTAAAATAAAAATTTTTAAATAAAAATGCCCTCCCCTCACCCAGTTTACATACACTGCACAAACACACACACTGCATTATATACACACTGCATTCATTATATACACACAACACACAAACACAAACACTGCATTCATTATATATACACATACAAACACACACTCTGCATTCATTATATACACACACACACAAACACACACTCTGCATTCATTCTATGCACACACTGTAAATAAATATTCAATTAATGTAATTTTATTGGGATCTAATTTTATTTAGAAATTTACCAGTAGCTGCTGCATTTCCCACCCTACTCGAGTCAATACGTTTTCCCAGTTTTTTGTGGTAAAATTAGGGGCCTTGGCTTATATTCGGGTCGGCTTATACTCGAGTATATACGGCATTTGGATATTCATTGTGAGTATATCTACAAAACAGTGATTTTATTTATATTTCTTATTTGGATAGTGGAGTGTCCCTTTACTCTGTAAATATTGGATTGTCAAACTCGACAGTTTGAGATTGACAAATCTAGTTTTAAATCGATAACATTTTCTGACTTTAACATCCACTTTACAAGCAGTAAAATGGTCCATAAATTTTGGAATAGTAATCAGTTTAACCCCTTAAGGAAACATGACATGTGTGACATGTCATGATTCCCTTTTATTCCAGAAGTTTGGTCCTTAAAGGGTTAAGAGCAAACTTCCAGTCAAAATCCAGACAACCTTGTCAATCAGTTACTGGCCTGGGATTGCAATGTAACCCATGAATTTTAAGTGGCACCATAAAATGCATCATAATTTATAGAACTAATAGTTCTAGTACTAATTAGGGGAGAATAAATATGTTTTTGTATTTTATATATATATATATATATATTTATATATATTTTTTAATGTAAAAGATAAAAGGTTGTCCACTGTTAAATTTCAATGGAAACTTTCAGTATGCAATGCTTAACACTGCCCTTCTACAATATTACTTTTTGGGGTTTTTTAGGCACCACCTAAACACAATAAGCAAATAATATCATATCCCTTATCTGAAAGTAAAATCCCATCCCTATGCATTTGCATTCCTTTTATAACTGTTAAATGATTTGATTAATCTTGGATATACTATTGGGATATTCCATTTCTAAGTTGTTCATGGCTTTTATTTTCAGATGGCTTATGTTGTATATCAGATTACTTACTCAAAATTTCCAAAACCGTTTTTTGTTCCCTGTGATTGCTTTGCATTCCTTTTGTTTCTCATTCTTAGGTGGGGTTCTCCGCTGTATTTAACTCTGAAACGTTTGATCAGCTTAGCTTATATAATATGTGGGTTTTATAAAGAACAATAGAGGTTCAATAGTCTAAGCAGTTGAGCATCATAATTAAAATAAATTGAATTCTCCTGAGTATTGTTCCTCTGTTAGAATCAAGGTGAATATCCAGACGTGGAGGAGTTTTGACAGGAGCTTCAGTGTAGCAGTAAGTTTGGGAGCTGACTAATGCACTAATGGTGGGGCTTTGTAGCTAATCAACATACTCATCAAGTATGGAAAGGCCACTTGAAATTGGCCACAAGGCAGGAACAGGATTGCAGGAGCACATATGTGCCTAACATAACTGTCAAATGTATGAAGGACAAGGCACTTTAGTAATGATAACATTATACAAATATGTGCATGGCTCTCTGATTGCCAGTTCAGATTCAGGTCTGCACAAAGGACAAGAGGTCATCTTCTGAAATATCACCTACCATCGGAAAATTGGTGACAAACTAGCTGATAGGGATTTTATTAAAGCAACACTCCCTGCATGCTGTAGTGGTTATGATGCCAAGAGTGACCTGCCACCGCCCAAATGTAAGTAATCAGACCATTTGCTAATTGTTTGACTCGTTTGACTCCTCACCTGGAGCCTGTCAGACACCACTCCCTGCCTTCCCCCTTTTTCTCATCTGCTGTGGAGAGACGGAAACTCCTGCAAGGAAGCTCTGTTGTCTCTCCTGACCAAAGCCCTGTATTGCAGGCCAGCTCATTGGCTGAGAGAGTCAGCTGAATCATTCCCAGCCAATGAGGTAAACCATGCACCGCCAAGCTTAGCTAAGTACCGAGAGCTTATTTTTCTCATAGATAATGTAACAGGTTCCCAGCAGACTTCAGGTAAAAAGTAAAAGCCATTTGACTACTGACACGGGGGGAGCCCCAGGGCACTCTTGGTATCATAACGATTACATTGTTGTAACTATTATGATGCTTGGAGTGTACCTTTAATAGCTTGCAGGTACATGGAGAAATGTGATTGGCCCTTTGGGGTCATTTACAATAATCTTCTACTTTTATATATAACATAACAATAAATAAAATATTAAACAATGGTAAGAAAACAAAATACATCTCAATTTTCAATTTAATACTTTATATTTCAGCTAAAGAAGATTCACTAATTAGCCCTGATTGTCAAAATGCCCAATGTGTCTAGGATTTCAATAAACATTTAGAAATAATAAAGCAAATATTGCAATGAGTACATTACGGTTTTAAAGAAACACCTTATTGTTTGGCGTGCTGAAATTGTTATCTTAATAGTAGTCACAGAATACCAACCCCTACATAAAAGTCTACATTAGTAGAAAGTAGATCCCAAGGCTAATAAACTGAGAGCATTTTGTTTAACCATTTTATCACCAAACGGGGTCAGTGAAGCAATGAGCACACTGATACCCCACATGTATACCTTTGCCAGGAGTTTCAGAGAATGTAGGGACAAATAACAGACATGCCACTGACGTGTCACTTTGTTTACATACTAGAGATATGATTTGGTAAAGTGACATTATCTGTGTCAGCGTAATGAGCAGCATGAAATATAAGCGCTATTTCTGAACCTACCCCTACCCCTAATCAACCCTCTAATCCTAACATCGACTATATACCTACCCATAAGTCTAACCCTAACCCTGACATCAACAGAGGGATTTCCCATCTCACACAGTACAGAGCACTCTGTCAGTGCTCTCTACTGTTGGCAGCTGGAAAAGCCCAGTGCCGATCACTTGTGGCATGCAGAGAGACACTGGGGTGTCAGTCTGTCCATTGAAAGCTCGAAGTCCTCTGGTGATTTAAAAGGATGTCGAGGGATACTATCAGAACCATTAAGACTACAGTCTGATGTAGTGGTTCTGAGCTCACAGAAGCTTCTTGCAGGCTAGCAGAATAAACAAGGAAAATCCTGCAAGAAGCTTCTGTGAGCTCCTATTAACTAACCCCTTAGCGTTCTCCGCCAATAAGCGATTCCCTGCACTGCTGAGCTAAGCTCAGTGCAAGACCGCCCTGGACAGAAGAGGCATCTGTGAGCACCTTGTGGACTCCAGATAAGGTGTCAAACCATTCTCAAACCGTTTGAATACTTACACTGGGGAGCATCAGAACACTCTTGGTACCATAACCCCTATAGCACTCTGTAGTATTTATGGTGATTGTAGTCTTACTTTAAAATATTAAATGGAACAATAATTGGAACAATAGTTCCTCAATAACATTCAAACATGTGAAAGATGGATAACATATCAGAATGCAGGGGCTTTTATGTGTGGAACAAAATGTCTGATATTTAATGCAAATGCTGCAGTATACCATAATTACCTATACGGGCTTATAAGACTCACTATTTATTAAATAAAATGTATAAAAAATATAGCATCCATCTTTTTTTTATCCTCTCAGCATCTTCTCCAGTGGTAAAGGGTATCACATTTTGTGTCATTTTTAAAATTCATGGGTTCTATATGTTCTATACATATTGAATATTTGTTTTCTTTCTTTATTGAAGTCAATCATTTATTTTCTCCATCGAACTGATTTTCCAAAGTGTAGCTTCTAGAATTGACGTAAATGGTTTGTTTATCTTTGATTTTGCAATGCAGACCTGGCTGCTGTGCGAATTCTATAATTTCAGACTGAATTTAACTCTTGTTAAGTTTCTTTTAGGAGCACTGTCCATAGGCATTGATGGATGTTTGTTTAAAACAAAAAATGACAACTCAATTACATGACTTTAAAAGGGGTGACTCCACCTTAAGAGCATACACGTTTTTTTCACACAGTTATGATTAATTTGATAGATTCCATGTAGCTCCGTCTTGATTATTACACTATAGCTATTTTTAATGCATGAATTTTAACCTAAAATTCCACAAATGGATTCCAATATGAAAGTAAACAAAGTGTTGGGAACTGTGTTTCTATGAAATAAATGTAAAAGGATCAAGTTTTATTTATTTTTTATGCTTAGGAGTTACATTTGTGTGCTGCTCTTCTAAACTGAATATTAATAAAACCTTTTTAAAAAGTTAGTGAATTCACAAGATTTGATTTTTGGATAATCCAATTTAAATCAATAATTGTATTTAGATTAAATAAATATTTATAACTAGTTTACATTATGATGAAAATGTTGGCAATGAAATGAGTGACAAGTAACTTGTTATCACAGTGGGAGCATCATTATTTAATGGTAAATCAATTGTTATTTTCTCAAGGATTCCATAATTTCAGAGCGTGAATTATGCTGGGGACGTTTTATAGATATACTTATATCAGTTTCCAATGACAGGATAATTTGAGATATTTCACCACACATATAGAGGGATACTATAGTCACCAAATCAACTTTAAGCTAATGAAGCATTTTTGGTGTATAGATCATGCCCCTACAGTCTCACTGATTAATTCTCCGGCATTTAAGAGTTAAATCACTTTGTTTATGCAGCCCTAGACCCTCCCTGCATATTACTTGCACAGCCTTCCTAAACACTTCCTGTAAAGTGAGATCTAATGTTTATACTTCCTTTATTGCAAATTCTGTTTAATTTAGAATTTCTTTTCAACCGCACTGTTAATTGTTTGCTAGACCTTGCAGGAGTCTCTTCTAGGTGAGTAAAGTTCAATTTACAGAGTAAAAAATAAAAACTAAAGTAAGTTACTTCTGATTGAAAATGAAACCACTTTTTGTATGCAAGCTGTACCAGTCACGGCAGGGGAGGTGTGGCTGGGGCTGCATAAACAGAAAAAAAAGTAATTTCACTCCTAAATGGCAGAGAATTTAGCATGATCTTTACACAAAAAGCTGCCTCATTAAGCTAAAGTTGTTTTGGTGACCATTAAATATCTCTACGATCCATCCAGGGTTTTATATACTACTATAGCAGCCAGCAAGGCATGCCTGTGGTATACTCAGAGACCGTCTCTTCTTCTCCCTATATCTGACTATTAGAATGCAGTCATGGAATTTTACTTGCGGGAGAAAGGGGTGCTGAAGTACTACCATTTTCAGACACTTCTCTACCCTGTGTTTTGCATATGTTTTACCATATTTCTCAATTTTTCTCCATGTTTCTCAATTTTTTTATCGTTCGCTTGGATTTCTAATTTTTACTCAAACCTGCATGTATGTGACAATTACCAGTGGGACAACCGTACTGTAGAATATTTCAGTTTAATGTCACAAGTACAAATGCCAAACCATGCCAGCATTCTTCAGCAGTGTTACAAGCCCTACGTGGGTCTGAAAAGGACATGCAATGCAAGCATAAACAGATGTATGGTAATTGGTTAAATTCAAGGGATAAAGCTAGTTTAAGGAGGCATTTCAAATATTTAGAGATGCTTTTTAAATGTTGTGTAAACAGAGCACCTTTATTTGTCCAGAAATCTCTTCTGGCTACATAGCTGCATAACAAAGATTAAGAAATGAAAAGAAACCATAATTTATTCACAATAAAACATGTCCAAAATAGTGGTTTTGCTGTTATTTGCCAGAATATTTTGAGTGCAACTGTGGAAATAATTTTGCAAACCTATAGTTATAAAGCTGCCACTTTTATCAAGTTTGTTAATCCATAATTAATAAATAAGCATAATCCGCATCTCTTTTTTTTTTTGTTTATAAATGGCTATCAGCTGTAATTTTTAAAGTATAGATAAATTATTGTAAAGTGCAAACACTCTTACCATGTATGTGCAAGGGAATTAAGTTTCATTGTGGAACATGTACAATTTAAGATTGCTTGTATACAAGAAGATCTATAATGTATGTATTATTTTAGCAGAGTTTTATAAAAACACACAATAAAGTTCAGAGTCTTGCCAGCATAGCTAGGCAAAAGTCTGCTGCTTAGTTGCTTGTCATATGCCTAATCTCTAATCTTAATATGTAGCCCCAACACCAGATAAAAAGCAAACCCTATTACAACAAACCGGTCAATTTTGAAATTGTAATATATTCTTTATGAAAAATGGCCTATATCAGTGACGTAACTAGTAATTGTCCCGACCCCACCCTCCCTCCCCACACACACACACATGTTTCATTCCTTCCCTCAGCTACCCATGTGTCTAATTTCCTTCTCCCGCTCCACACGTGTCTCCTTCCCTCCCCCCATCCCCTCCACGAGTCTCATTCTCTCCCTCTCAGCTACTCGATGGCTCATTTCCCCGCTCCTCCCCAGTCCCTCCATTATTCTAATTTCTCCACCTCTCATCCCCTTCGCCCCCCACCCAGCCCTCATTAACCCCCCTCACTTCCAATCCAGCCCTCATTACACCCCCTCACCGCCTATCCAGTCCTCACTCCATCTCTCACCCCCCATCCAGCCCTCATTGACACCCTCACCCCATCCAGCCCTCATTAACCGCCCTCACCCAGCCCTCAGTCCATCTCTCACCCCACATCCAGCCATCATGAACCCCCCCACCCTCCATTCAGCCCTCATTAACCCCCAAAACTAACCCTCATTAGCCCCTTCACCCCATTCAGCGCTCTCTCTCACCCCCATCCAGCCCTTAATCCCTCTCTCAGCCCCCCATTCAGCCCTCACTCTCTCACCACCCCTTCCAGCCCTCATTAAGCCCCCTCACTCCCCCCATCCAGCACTCAATCCCTCTGTCCCCACTCTTCCTCTGTACCTTATGTCTGAGTGTAGTGTGGCCGAGGGATACCCAGTCTAACAGGAAGTTCTCTGTAAGTGAGCACTTCCTGTCAGCCGGGATACTTGGCCGCACTACACACAGAGAGCGCGCTACACACACCGCGCTCCCTGAAGTTGTGGTGTCCCACGGTTGCAGGGGTCGCAGCTGCAGCTGTGACTCCTCCGACTGTGGTAGGTACACCACTGGCCTATATATTACATTTGTAGTGTACGCTGAAATTTTAGCACAATCAAAAAGTATATAGAAGACAGGACTGATTTGATTTATGTATGTTATTGAACATGGGGAAGCTGGTAGAGTAGCTAGATTCTGGCTTTTTACTATAACTACTACCATAAGTAATATGCTGTGTGTGTGGGAGAGAAGATCTATGAAGGATTCTGCAATCTTGCAGAAACTTATATTGACTCCTATTTTGTACTCTTGTTTATGTGCTGGAGTACCAAAGGTGACACCACCTTGGCATGCCAAGAGACAGAAAGAAAATGGCACTGCCAAGGGAGAAAGAGTTAGAGATTAATAGATGGGACTGAACTCCCTGTACCCCGGCTGGTTCCCTCCGCCAGCTTCCTAGCCGCTTGCAGGGACCCTGGAACACTTCTGCCCCAGTCACCACAGCTTGACTGAGGTCATTCTGGAGCTTTTGTACCTGACCAGGCAGCAGCTCTCCTTCCAGGCAGGTATCATCCCCTCTGCCTGTTCCATTGCAGCCCTTCTACTCGGCAGGTCCCCTCTGCGTATTCTGCTGCAGCTCTGTTTACAGTGATTATAGTTATTGCCTTTACAAAGAAAGAATTGCATCTCTTAGGCCTAGCTCTTTTGATTTATCCCAGGTTTAGAGGGATCCTGCAACCAGCAAACAGGTCCAAAGACTCTGTCACTAGGATCCCTAAAAATCCACACAAGATACAAGTTCCAGAGGGAACTGACATACAAAATTTTAATTTTTCTCTGGACTAGCCCATAGACTCATTACATGTTGGTTCCTGTGACAACTTAAATAAAATATAAAAAAAGAAATCATAGCAGACAATATACAGCAACTTATTTTAACACAATGACATATTTATAAAGGGGTGGAGAAGATAATAATTAAGACAAAATATCTCTCCTGCCTGCAGAATTAGCAATATGCAAATCTACCTGAATATGCAAATTAGCAAGAATTTCTATTCAGGTAGTGCATATAGCTGATGCTGCAACCAACAAAGGGTGCTATACAGGTCCCATAGCCAAATCCTCCTAGTTGGTAGCAAGCATTACATCAGCAGTACAGGAGAGCACACAAACAATTAATTAATACATAATACACATACATTACACATAATACACATACATTACACACACCCTGCATCTTCATTGGGCACAGGGTGACTTAAACATAGGAGTCATCCAGGGATCTAATTGAAGTGTCCATCTTATGCTCCCAGTGATGGTGACTACTGTCACAGTTGATCATGTCCTTCCCATACTCCTACCAGGTTACATAATCAATCTGATGTTTTACCAATGTGGAACTATGCAAAAAAGTGCATAGACCCTCTCCAACTTAGTGACAAGCTCATTTTAGGGCTAACTCGCCAATATAAGCTGTGCTGCAATGATGAGGTGCCATGTTAAAGGTAATGTAAATATGATATGCATCAGAAAGTGGTTGAAAAGCATGAGTTTTTAACCCCTGGTTTGGACCCATATTTGGTGCTATTTCATGCAATTTCAGTGGGTGACTAATGGTTGAATGTGGAACATCTTATTTATGATCCTTGCAATGTGCTCAGTTAATGTAACTGTATATTATCTTTTTTAATTTTGTAGAGTATAAATAATAAAAAAAAAAGAATCAAGGTGTGACAGTGAGTCATTCCTGTGAAATCTGTTTTCCCAGAATTTGTCCATTTTCCTATATCAACAGCTTCTGTTATTTTTTTCACGATCCTTGTGATTGAATTTCCTCTCATTATGGAAGATTCATGTTATTCATTATGTCGGGAACAGTTTTTTTCCAAAGACAATTTAAAATATTATCATTAGTTATCAGCATAGGCGTGGGCAGCCTATTGCATTAGGATGTGCACCCTAAAGCACAAACACACGCCGCGCGTGTGTGTGTGTGTGTGTATGTATCTATATATATATATATATAGATACATACACACACACACACACTGCTGTGTGTGCTGTTAGTGTGCTGTGTGCTGTTAGTGTGATGTGTGTGTGAGGGTGCTGTTAGTGTGATGTGAGGGTGTTTGTGTGTGTGTGTGTTTGTGACTGTGCTGTTTGTGTGTGTATATTTGTCCTGTGAGGGTGCTGTTTGTGTGAGTGTCGTGTATTTGTGAGGGTGCTGTTTGTGTGTGTGTGTGTTTGTGAGGGTGCTGTTAGTGTGCTGTGTGTGAGGGTGTTGTGTTTTTTTAAAGGTGCTGTGTGTGTTTGTGAGGGTGCGGTTAGTGTACTGTGTGTGTGTGAGCTGTATGTGTGTAGGTGCTGTATGTGTGTGTGTGATTTGGCAGATTAGTAAATCCTTGCTGCCATGTGCCATCCCTGGTGGTCCAGTGGAGAGTGAACTCTAGCCTGCGGGGCTAGAGTTAACTCTCGCGAGATCTGAGCGTTGCCGCAGCAACGCTCAGATATCACGAGAGGGACATGGCGGAGCTTCTGTCTAGAGCTCCCTGGGTCCTCTCCTGCCTCCCTCCATGCTGCTGTGGGCCGGTGAGGTAGATCTTTGGTCTCCCCGCCGGCCCATGGAGGCTTAGAGCAGAGCCGGCACTCAGATAGCGCCGGCTCTGCGTGTGTGTGTGTGTGTGTGTATATATATATATATATATATGTGTACACACACACACTCACAGACACATTCAGACACACACACACACTCACAGAAACACACTCACACAGACACACACACACAATTACACAGACACACACATACACTCACAGACACACACACACATACACAATCACAGACACACACAGACACACACACACTCACACACAGACACACACTTACACACAGACTCACACACAGACACACACACACACACACAGACACACACACTCACACACAGACACACACACACTCACACACTCACACACACACACTCACACACAGACACACACACTCACACACAGGCACACACACTCACACACAGACACACACACACACACTCACACACACACATACAAATTATTATATTTGAATTAAAAAAAAATGTCCACCCAGCCTCCTACCTGGAGCTCAGCCGCGGCGAGGGAGCAGTCTGCTCTCTGCTCCCTCTCGCCGCGCGGGCTGTCTGCTGTAGCTGGGAGCCGGAATATGATGTCATATTCCGGCTCCCGGCATCAGCGCGCGGCGAGAGGAAGCAGAGAGCAGACCGCTCCCTCGCCGCGGCTGAGCTGCAGAGAGGGGGGTTATCCATCACCTCTTGCCCTCCCCATGACAGGGGCAAGAGGTGAGACAGGGGGTGCTGAGTGCCTGCAGGAACAGCGTTTCTGCTCAAAAAAAGTGCAGGAACACTGTTCCTGCCGGACTCAAACCATAGGCATGCCACGGGGATTAAGGTGTGCCCAGACACACCAGGCACACCCCGTGCGCACGCCTATGGTTATCAGTATTATATTGTTATATACCACCAGAAGTTACTTTCAAATACACGTTCGTAACAGGCATACACAATGATAGGCTGAAATACAATGATCATATAAGGCTTTATAAGCCTCCCCCAGTCTGCGCGTCACCTCCATGGGTGAAGAAGGATTTAAAAAAAAAAAAATAATAATTTAAGTGCGTCGGTTATTATGGATTTTGATTTGGCCTTTTTTGGGGCTGAAAAAAGAAGATTTTAGAAGAAAGAAAACATCAAATGGTAAGTTTTATTTTATCTTTTTTAACAGGTACTTAGTTAATGCCCCCCCCTCATTATTTTTAGGGTGAAAGGGGTAGGTAGGAGTTAAAAACATTTTGGGAGGGGGGTGACTAGAGGTTTGGGGACCCCTAGTCACCTGGTGGTGGGGGGTGGGGTTACATTTTTATTTAGGGTCCCCACCCGCCACCCAGGGGTGGGGGCCAGAGGGGAGGACATTAGGTCCCCCCCTAATTGGTATTTAGGGCCCCCACCCACCGCTCAGGGGTGGGGACAGGGGAGGATGACATTAGGTCCCCCCCTCATTCTAATTTAGGGCCCCCATCCACCGCTCAGGAGTGGGGGCCAGGGAGGAGGACATTAGATCCCCCCCTCATTCTAATTTGGGGCCCCCACCCACCGCTCAGGGATGGAGGCCAGGGGGGAGGACATTAGGACCCCCCTAATTAGTATTTAGGGCCCCCACCCACCACTCAGGGGTAGGGACGGGGGGAGGACATTAGGTCCCCCCTTATTCTTATTTAGGGCCCCCACCATCTGCTCAGGGTAGGGGTTGGGGGGAGAACATAGGTCCCCCCCCCATTATTTTACTTTAGGCCCCCCATCTGCAGCTCAGGGGTGGTGGCCGGGGGGGAGGACAATAGGTCCCCCCTTATTCTAATTTAGGGTCCCCACCCACCGCTCATGGGTGGGGGCTGGTGGGAGGACAATAGGTCCCCCCCCTTATTTTACTTTAGGGCCCCCATCCGCCGTTCAGGGGTGAGAGCCGGGGGGGGCAATAGGTCCCCCCTTCAGGTTAGAAGCCCCCACTTGCGCGGCACGGGTGGGGGCTTGGGAGGGGGGACATGTTATTTTTTTTTTTACAGTGAGCAGCCATAGGCTAAGTAATCTTTGCTTAGTATTAGTAAATTTGGCTGAAAGACCAATTCAGATCTTTCAGCCTTTTAGTAGGACCGTGGGAATTAGAGAGTTATCTACTTATATGACTGGCTAAGTAACTTACATTTTATATGAATGTATGTTACTTGATTGTTGTAAGTGTTGCAAATGCTTACAGCTGAATCCTGGCTATGTTTGTATACTTTTTATTTAAACTTGTATACATTGTAACATTCTTCTTCCACTGGGTAAGTATACTTCGGCACATCAGCAGTTCGGAACTTCGACACTTCTGAAATTCTGTAATTTCGGAAATTCTGTAATTTCGGAACTTCGGGACCTCAGCAATTCGGCACTTCGGCTATTCGGCACTTAGGCTATTCGGACATTGGGAAGTACCCGAATGTCCGAATTGCCTAAGTGCCGAGTTCATATTTGGACCGAAATGAATTGCACATGTCTAGATAGCACCAAGTTACCCATCACCAATTACACCACAATCTCGCAGACACTTAGAGCTGTGGTAGTCAGTTTAGTTTATGTTTAGTGAATTTAGTGTATGTTTGTAGGGAATCCTGTGTGTGTAGGGGATGTAGTGGATGCTGTTTGTGTATCTGTGTATGTCAGAGAGGAAGTTAATTGATACAGAGTTCATAGTGGATGCAGTTAGTGTGTGCATAGTTAATGCAATGTGTGTGTTTGAATAGTGTATGCAGTGTGTGTAAGGGATGCAATGTACAAAGGCGTAACTACTGTGGTCGCAGGGTCGCAACTACGACCGGGGTCATGACTCCAAGTGGCTCAGCTGCCCTGAGGGGGTTGTTTGCATGTGTGTATAAATATATATATACCGCTCCCCACGTGTCTCCTTCCCTCCGCCCCAGCCCCTCCACGAGTCTAATTCTCTCCCTCTCAGCTACTCCATGGCTCATTTCCCCGCTCCTCCCCCAGTCCCTCCATTTGTCTAATTTCTTCACCTCTCACCCCCTTCGCCCCCCACTCAGCCCTCATTAACCCCCCTCACTTCCCATCCAGCCCTCATATATATTATTTGGACATGCGCTTGTATATATAGTCGTGTCTCTCCAGTGTGACTTTTTCACACTTTGTGTCCTCCATTTGTCTCACAACAAAGAAGGCAATAGCGGGGGTGAGGGGTTGCAACATAACAACATATTGGACTAATATGGCAACATGCCCCAATGGGGGGGCGCAGCAATATGAAGCAATAAAGAACTGCTGGATTATTGCTTGTTGGAATTAAATGTGCAAGCGTGTTTGCAAAGGGAAAATTGTCTCATGAAGTGCAAAGTACCTTAACATCATATGAAATTGTAAAATGTTAATAATGTGATAATCATATTTATTTTAAATATATTTTTTTTTATTTTTAACGTTATTTCGCTGTTACTGAGGTTTGACCATGTCTAATGTTCATAAAAGTGAAAAAGATATAATTTTTCTTGTTATAAAAAATATACTAGGTGTAAAATGTGAGCCACCTGATGTGTTTTTAAATGACCTACAGATCATAAAGGTCATTGTTGTAAATGGGTCATCAGAAACATGTCCACTCTGCGAGATATTGTTTTATACCGTTTTTTGTTTTTTTTTACTTTTAGATTACAAGTTTTTAAATGTAGTAGTAATATTGTATCCCATCAACAAAGCTGCATTTGTTTATGACCATATGTGGGGAATGCATATAATGAATCTCTAAACTTTAGCTCACAGTTGAAATCACAAAATAAAGGTCTTGAGGCGTTTCTTAAGTATTCAAGGTATTTATAAATAAGTTCCAGTTAAGTGTTCTTTCCCGTCATCTGTCTGATGAGTGATTAGTGAGATTACTGTAATCTTATCTCAATACAAAAAAAATCTATTCCGTACCAACTTCCTATTAAGGATATAATCATTGTAAAAGTAGCAGTGAGGAGAATAGCATATCATATATAAAAATGTTCTAATGCAAAAAAATAAGCAAAAATAAATAAATATATATATATATATATATATATATATAAAACTTCCCTCTGAGCATCTCTGTGATCAAGAATATTAATCAGTGCAGTAACTCGATGAATATCACACACGAGTAAGCAATACCGGGAGGCAGCTTCCATCTACAAACGTTAAGTAATTGACATGTATTTATGATTTCAAATCCCAGTTATGTGCAATTAGCTTTAGGAAGAGAAGGCTGCAGGCCTGAAAACATGGTTAATAAGCAAATAATATTTTATCTGGAATCTGACAATTTACATATATTACATAACTTGAAGCACCATAACCGCATTAACCTACTGTAGTGGTGATGATACTAGGAGTATCCTGGCGCTGTTCCCAATAATTGGGCAAACCATTTTGCAACAGTTTGTGCTTGGGTCTCTCTGGGCGCTGGGTCACCTCTGAAGCAGGTTGAACAACATCTGGCTTCTGCAGAATGCACAGGAGAAAGCCCCTTCACTCTAAAAAGGACAAGGCAGCATGATTATGTTTGCCAAGCTGCATCTGAGCAAACCACAAGACTTCTGGAACAACATCCATTGGACAGACGAGACCAAAGTGGAGATGCTTGGCCATAATGCACAGCACCATGTTTGGTGAAAAAACAAACACAGCATATCAGGACAAACAGCTCATAACAACTGTCAAGCACAGTGGTGGATAGGTGACGATATGGGCTTGTCTTGCAGCCACAGGACCTGAGAACCTTGCAGTCATTGAGTTGATCATGAACTTCTCTGTATACCAAAGTATTCTAGAGTCAAATGTGAGGCCATCTGTCCAACAGCTCAAATATGGCTGAAACTGGGTTATGGAGCAGGACAATAATCCCAAGCACACCAGCAAATCTACAACAGAATGGCTGAAAAGGAAAAGAATCAAGGTGTTGCGATGGCCCAGTCAAAGTCCAGACTTCAACCCTGTGGCGGAACCTTAAAGAGAGCTGTGCAAACACAAATGCCAGCAAATAAACTGGAGCAACATTGTAAAGAAGAGTGGGCTAAAATTCCATCACAACAATATGAGAGACTGATAAATTCATACAGAAAACAATTACTAATGGTGGTTCCACAAGCTATTGCTGCTAATGGTAGTTCCACAAGCTATTGAATCGTACTTTCACACATAGCTTCTCCATTTTGGCTTTATATATATTGATGTAACATCTATATATTGACCTAAAATCACTAGTCCCCTACTATAGGAATCAAGATTAGCTCAGATAGATTCAACACCCTACAGGATTAAAGACCAGCTGAACATGCAATCAGATATAAGTGTCTGGGAGTGCCAAAGTTAATATTCTCAAATCATTTATGAAAATAGACATTAAAGGGTTAAATGGTGTTGTGTTTGACACACTGTATGTATTTTCAATTTTTCTTTGATGCAAATTCTACAACTCAGAGCAAAATGACTTTACTGAGTGTTCCACTTGCTTGATATAAATATTTATTCTTGAAGGCATGCAAAAATTCTCAAGGAGCTTTTCAAAAATGAAGTAAAGTATTTCATATTAAACCCACCAGTTTCGGCACAAATAGTACTATTCTTAATGTATGAGTGCACTTTAACGTGCCAAAACTGTTCCGTCCAATAACGAGTGTTTGTCTTCATTTTTGCACAGTTTGTTGAGTGTTTCTTTATTCCTTTCCAAGAATAAATATTTATCTCAAGCAAGTGGAACGTTGCACTATAAGTCTTGAGTTATGAGCTTATTTGAAAGAGAAAGTACAGGATCCTGGCAGGAAATTTATAATCTCTATGGTCAGAGTTGCAATGTGAATATTGACTTTGCTTTGCAGATACCACTTGATGAGTTGGTCTTGTCCCTCAGCACAAGAGTTTAGGCAAACATAATGATATCATTATGGTTAGATTACCAGTGGCATAAATAATAAATAGAGGGCCTTGGTGCAAGAATGTTTTTCAGAACTCCATTAGAGCAGAGGAGGCTAACAGTTTGGTTCTTATTTCCATGCAACTCCCTCTATGCGGTCTGTTTTTCCAGATGCCAGAAATTTTTGCCTCATCAGCATGGTTACTGACTTGCAATGGAGGCTTGGCGTTACTTGTCAAGTACATACCAGCAGAGTGGTGGTGGGGAAAAAAGTGTGGATGAAAACCCCTTCCACCTGAAGTAAGTGGATAGTTAATACATTGCTAAACTTAAATACACAAACCAGTCAAGCCATAAAGTTAGCTTTTCCCACAGAAATCTCACTTTAACAGTGCTCTCACTACTGCAATGGATTCTGGATAGGCGTATGCAAATGAGCTCAACAAAGAACCACATTTTTTGCCTCATAATTCCACTTTATACATGGATTCCTTGGCATGCTGATGAGTTGCATTAACAATGAAACAGCTGTCCATGAGTGGTTCACTGGCTTTGCTCCTCTTCCTGAGTTGTGTTTCAAAGCTGTTGTATACAGCAAACACATACTCCAAGGAATCCATGTATAAACTGGAATTATGTTTTCATCCATACTTTTTTCCCCACCTCAACTCTGTTGATATATATATATATATATATGTATATGTGTGTAAATAACTTGCTTATTGTCTGTTTTTATATATATACAGCGTGACTACTTTTCGTTCATAATAAATGTTCCTTTATTAAGTTCTGCCTTTGTCTGATTGAAGAGACCTATTTAATAGTATTTTTGGTAGCACTGATATTTTGCTAAGGCACATACTCTATCTCAACTTGTATGTTCAATGAGTTAAGATGGAAACACACAGTTTCAGAATAAAGCTAACTAGAGCAGTGTCAATTTCTTCCTTTTATTTTTCTCCCATTAAATATAACATATAAGGGATATAGAAGGGTTATTAGTAGTAACTTACGATTTCCCTTTACTCTGGTTCAGGTCTTGATTGAAGATTTCAGTTATGCTCAAGAAGCATATTGTTTTTTTCTGACAAGCCTTAGCATAGTAACAAGCACTTTACCTAAATCAATGCACCTTCAGAGCAGTATAGTTCTAACATGTAATTGTCAGATCATGTTTATAAGATTGTCTATAAAAAAGAAAGTAACATCTTCTAACATGCATTCTCTTCATTGCTTTTAGTTAGTACTCAGGGATTTTTCAAAAATGTTAACCCTAGACTTTTACTTAAAAGTACGGTTTCATCATGTCAGGTGGTCCTTTTTACTGAACTCAAAGCTTATTTTATGTCTATGGCTTTACACGTCATCTCACATTAATTAAATTAGCCTTTGAACTTTATTTTTTCTTCCTCTGTCTGACACAAAAGTGATCATTTCCCTCCTGAGAATGTGGAGAATGTATATATATTATTGTAAAATAGTGTTCTCTAATGCCTTGTAATTCCACTGATACTACTAAATCAAATCTACTGTAATGTAACACAAAACAATTGAAAAAAAATATTTACGAGTGTTCTATCAAACTCTTTTTTTTATCTTCTATTAGACATTTTTCAAAAAAGTTAATTTAAGTTGATTCAGAGCTAAATAAAGATGATCTATAATTAATGACTTTGTGATCCAAATCTTAACGTGAGTGTGTCACTTTAGTACTAGAGATTAGATTGGTTGTATTTAGTATCTGGATAAAACTGGTTGATGACTATATTTTGTTTTTATATTTAATAATGTTCACATTATTATGGTTCTGCACCTATTTATCTCCTTTAACTTCTGAACAGCAGAGGGTTAATTATGTTTGGTTCTAGTTCCTCCATTCTTCAGCCCAATCATAAATGTTTAATTTAACATCTATAAAATCATTCTTTGCCACCCAGGGATAAACATTTCCATCCGGTGTTGAAACCCCAGGACTGTGTGACTACAAGAAAAGCACAAACACGGTTATAGCTGGAGTGAGGTCAGGTTTAGAATTGGCTAAGCAGCCAAGAATTCGGAGCAGGTAGTAATTATGAAAATCATGATAAACAAACCATATCTGTCAATAGAATATTATAATCTGAGTTGCCATGACACAGATGCCGTATCACTTCTTGGAATTGCACAAAATATTTGCATATATCTTGGACGTTGCTGCCATATTGTACTTTGAGCCAGTGTTTTGATGTTTTAGTTGATGTGACATTTGTAGCTGCATCAGGGATAGGACTTTTGAAGCCTGCTTTATTTGTCTGTCATTCTCTCTCTCTCTCTCTCTCTCTCTCTCTCTCTCTGATAATAAGTCTTCTCTGTACTCGTATCGTGTTTTGATACTTATCAGCACTATACAATTATAAGTTATTGCATTCTTGCTTGATTCACAACTCTGTGTCCACACTGAGCTTCATCCTCATTCTAGGGTTTATAGGTATCTGGGCAAACCAGATAGCTCTCCCATTCATATTAGCTGTCATCCATTGATAACTAACATTAGAGGCAACAGATCCCTGGTGGGATCGTCCACAAAGCACCATTAAGCATTCTCACGTTAAAAAATATAATGGTGATGCAAGCATTGATATGGTTCTTGACAAATAAGGCTACCAACAGTTGTGAAAAGAATTCCCTAAAAAAACAAAACACAACTTCTATGTCCTATAAGTCCTAAGTCCTATGAGTTGACCTCTAGACTTAAAAAATGAATAATTTCACTGTCATATACTTCTTATACTCTAAAGGTACCTTGTAGTTTAGTTAAAAAGTACCTAATTAGTCTAACTAAACAAAAATTACAAACTCACCAACTGGGAGTTGTGTGGAACATCTTAAGTGCAGAATATAAAGGAGTCATCTACAGAGTGTTATCCTAGGAATCTATCCATTCATGATGACACAAATGGAAGGAATGTATTTTAAATGCTGGAGGTGGGACAGACAAGTCAGGATTAAGTTGCAGAATGATATAAAACATATTTTACAAAATCGAACATGTAAGACAGCTGATTATTTAGGCCAAATGCTAAAAATTATTTTTGCGCATGAAGTGTCCTTTAAAATACAATCATTGGACAGAAATACATTCCCCATTGTGTAATATCCCTCATGTCTGCTATTTCAATACATTTAAGATTTGTTCCAATATTCAGGGAAATTATTTTTTTTCTGTTAATATATTTTACAGAAGGAAAAGGAATCTTCCAGGAGAATATCTTACTTGAAACAGATTTAAAAAAAAAATCAAAATGTCAGCACTTTCATGTCTTTTTTTTATAGGTGGATATGTCTATAATATTAAAAATGTTTTATGCAAACCTTTGTAAACATTACAATTATATTGTTTTTTTATCAAGGTTCCGCTGGAGAAGACGTTTACTTGTTATCTCTGCTCCCAACGATGAAGAATGGGCCTATCAACAGCAGCTGAATGCGCTGACTGGACAAGCATGTAACATGGGTAAGTTTGGGGTATGCTCAGTATTTAAAACCGTTTTTAAGACTCATACTTTAATACTTGCAGGGTTATTTACTAAAGTCAGGAAGTCAAAGTGAATGTCAAATTTAAAGGCCAAAATAGCTGATTTTGAAGAGTTCTCCAAGTCGGCTTCCAGTTGTGTTAATTTGGTCTAAAAAACCTCAATTCAGAATACAAACCCAGCTTTATTCATTCTCCATAATAAAATGTATATTTTTAGTTACTGGCGGAGTGGGTGTGGAGAGGGAAATGGTATTATGCATTTTACACCTCTAGGATAATTTATCAAAGATTGAGATAGTGGCTTCATAAAGTGCCCAAGAGTCACAAAACATGCAAGACTGCCTTATCTCTCCCCTCCAAAAGCAAGATACAAAATACATTTTATTATGGAAGCTGAGTAAAGCTAAATATGTATTCCGTATTAAGCTTCTCTTCATTGGTGCTGCTGTTAACAGGTTTCAAACTATTCACGTTCATTTATAAAAAGACTTGCTGAAGCATGTGAGGTAGATCAGTTGGTAAAAGCAACAACTGTAGAAACAGTTCAAACCATGCACTGCACGCTCACGTCTCATTTAACTTGTCATAGCCTCATTCCAAGGCCAAATAAAATTTTATATATATATATATATATATATATATATATATATATCATTTTTATGTTTGGCAGGTATGATTGTTCTTTGTTATCGTCCCAGTCCAATAAAATAATGCATATTTTCCCAGTTTTGTTAGTTTTTTTTTTTCATTGTATGCTTTTCCATGTGCAGGAATTTCCTTTTCCAGTCCATTTTCAAATTGTAAAACAGCTTCAAAGAAAGTGTATAAATAGCTTACATTTAAAATACAGGTTGAGAACACTGGGCCGATTTATATTCTACAATTATATAATAAGGCAAGTGTTTATGTTGGCTAGTGGGAAATCTATATACTTTTTATTCATTTTAGTTAAAAGAAACCATGAGCATCTTCAGCTTATAGAGCTTCAACTAAGTGCAAATATTCATTATTACCGGCCAAAGGTACACTCCAAGCACCAGATCAATTTATTTTTATTGCGTATGTTATGATCTGTGAGAGCCAGATTTTCACTGGGTGCAGGAACTGGCGAATATCTTTTTTAGTAGAATTTTTGTAATTTCTATTTTTGGGAACCCACAGGTAGTCTCGCTGATATGATTAATTAGTTTTTTACACTCGCAGCCATTACCTTTCCCAATTTACAGTCTTTGTATTTTGGCTCCTGCTGCTTGACTACTTACTTAAGAATTCCACTAAGATTCTTCTAAGCTCTTTGAATTACCACCACCAGCTTCTAAGCTCTTTGGTTTACGATTCATACTATGTCATTTTTGTATTTATTTTTCAATGAATTCATGAGCAACCACTAATGCCTAATGTTTTTTTAAAATGTGCTGTGCTACTCGGGTTAACACTAACAGTGCTGTGCTAGTCAGGCATTAGCCCAAGCAGTGGTGGGTGGCAATGATTGACTTAAGGTACCAGCCTACTCTCTTCCTACACAGTCACCCATTGCTTGTATAACTTGTAATGAAACAAAAACAGCACAAATAGCACAGAATGTATGTACACGTGGAAAAATGATATGGTACAATTGGCCACTCACAATTGCTACAAGAGCCTTTAGAATAATACAAGTCTTCTCAGACCTCCAAGTGTCTGGATTGTAGGGATACCTTCACAGTGATGTATACCATCAGGTGACTTCCCCCGATCTCCGGTTGGCAAATCAGTTAGCAGCAATAAAGTAATCTAATGCAACAAAGTGAAGTAAAAACCAAATAAAGCTCAGAAAAAAATGTATTCACTTACATGGAAGTTAATAACAACAAGTGTGCAGTATCACCACAAGTCCTACGCATTCCACACACAATGGGACTTCCTCACGGACAGTCTTTGCAGTGCATACAGCTATGCTTTTATCTATCAATTGTAAGTGGCCAATTGTACCATATACTTTTTCGAAGTGGAGGTACATTCTGTACTACGTTATGCCGTTTGTGGTCCATTTAGTAGGATCACCCCTATATTTTTTAGATTTGTGTGTTGAAGATAAGAGGATATCTTCGGGGTAGAGACTCAGCATAAACACTTTCTTTGTGAATTGTGAAATAAACTGTTGTTTGTATCTATATATAAATTGGAATGGATACAGTTCCACCATAAATTGGCATGGCTCTACTTTAGTTATCCCTCTGGTTGACAGCCAGGCTAATGTTGCCTGGGGACCCTGATTCAGCATTACACAATTCATAAACTGTCTAAAATCGAACCTTAGAGTCAGCACCAGTGGATTCTGGGCACCATAAGCACGCCAGTGATCTGAAGTCTTTATACTGCCAACAACAAAAAAGCATTAGCACTAAAACATTTTTTATTTTGTTTTCTTTGTTGCAGTTACTACAATGAACTTCACAAATTATTGAATTAAAAAGTTACCTTAACTTCCAATGCAGGCATTTTATGTGCAGTTTTCAAAAATGCCTCATTGCACATTTTTATTGTGAAGCGTAATGACTGTAGTGCAAATGGGTAACATTACCAGAACCCATTCTCATATTCTTTGTTTTTTCTTCATTACCAGAACCCAACCTGGTTAGCCTCCTCTTTAAAAACAATATTATGTAATTTCACACTATAATCCTACACAGTGAGCTTAGTCTGTATGCCAATGGCCAACCCCTCCATGCCATATGGCTGTATTGGCCAGCCTGTACCCTGAGTGGCTGTATGAATAATCCCTTTGTTAGCCCCATATTAAATGTAGACCATACAATGTATGCACTTCAGTTTTTGCATCCCCTATTTTATATATATGTATATCGTCTAACAAAATGCCAAAACAGAACACTGTCAACAATGTAATGTTAACTTCATGAAATATTTATATAATTAAAAAAACTACCATATTTTTATATTCATACATGATGCAGTTTACACACATAATACTGTGTTTATCCCTGAAAAAATGTTAATACACTCATAAACAAAATATTCTAAACTACAAAGAAGGATACTAGTGTAGTAAAGAAGGAGTGAGGGACTTCAGTTACACACACAGAATGTCCTTTCAAATGACAGACCTTAGTTTATCAGTATTGGTTTTTTACTGTCTGCACCAACAGAACCTTTGTACAAAAGGCAGCCTTGTTTTTAAAATGTTTAGAACTTGTTGGGCTTCTTAACCAGAAACCTGTAGGAGAATTTAGAAATTCTGATGTTTGGAAAGTACCCAGATTATGTAAAAACACACTTCAGAGTCTTCCCTCATGAGTCATTTGGCTGTGGAACAAACCAACCTAGCTGCAGATAAAGACCACTTAGCCAACTTGTCTGGCTTTTTTTTTTTTTATAAACTCAATGAAAAGTCTCACACATCATTTTGGCCCATGTATGGTTAGATGTGTTTTTCACTGGGTAGTTGGCCTTGAACACAAGAAGCAATTTGCTTACAATGTATGCATTAACCTCTTCAGTTGGAATATGTGTAAATATACAAATAAGGAAACAAATATAGGTATTATTCTAAGACTTTGTTTTTTTTATATATAATATAGTATTGTAATAAAAGTACCACCTCCTCATCCTGTTTGCTCCATAGCTCTACAGTAATGTCAATGGCAGAACATTTTTAAAAGGCTGATAAGTATGTGGGTCCTAAGCTCTAATAATGAACATTTGGCTTTTTATTACCAAGCTGGTTTATAACTAGGATCAATGCAGAGGGGTATGTGTTATAAGCATTAAGAAACAGTACGCATTCTGTAGAAAATTTACAGAAAGCTTTATTTTATTAATTTTACCTAATATATTTACATGTTTTTTGGCAGTTTATTAAATTTGTCTGTTTTTTCATCTGTTGCTTCTTTTATGCCCTAACTGAAATCTACTACTTTGAATGCTACTTCAGAATGGTTTAAAAATACAATCAAAATAATGATGGAATTTAACAATCCCTTTTCAGAACAGTTTGATAAGTCTCCCCAAGGAGCCTGTATAGAGTTTTCAGGGGATAAAGACTTAATCATTTTATAGAGGTATTACAGACGATAGTGTCAGAAGTAACATGTATAATATTTGTTTTACTTATATCTGCCCTTAAAATTGAAAAATAGAGTATAAAACAATAATATTTAGAATGCATTACCATTACTATATCATATAGAATGTGATGTCAAATGAGAGCCATTCGGCTCATCTTGTGTGCCCAATTTTCTTAATACTTGCATTAGTCTCTTATATCTAGATAGCTGTATTCCTATCCCATGAATGCTTAAACTCCCTCACTGTGTTAACCTCTACCACTTCAGCTGGAAGGCTATTCCATGCGTCCGCTACATTCTCAGTAAAGTCATTCTTCCTGATATAATTTTTAAACTAGGCATGTGCATGGGAAAAATTTTCGGTTCGGCATTCCGAAATTCGTGACTTCAGCAATTTGGCACTTTGACACTTCGGATCTTCGGCACTTCGGAACTTCGCCACTTCGGAATTTCGGTAACTTCGACACTTCGGAACTTCGGCACTTCGAAACTTTGGAACTTCGGAATTTCGGAACTTCTCTTGCAGCCGCTTGGTAGATAACTCCCTAATTCCCATGGTATTAGGGAGTTATCTACAAAAAGGCTGAAAGACCTAAATTGAAGGGGCATGTCTAGTAAATAGTCTGCTCACTGTTAAAAAAATAAAATAAAATAAAAGATCCCCCCTCCCGAAACCCCCACCCCTGAGCGGCGGCTGGGGGCCCTAAATTAGAATATCTTTACTTAGTATTAGTAAATTTGGCTGAAAGACCAATTTAGGTCTTTCAGCCTTTCAGTAGATAGCTCCCTAATACCGTGGGAATTAGGGAGTTATCTGCTTATTCATTCCTGTCATTACATTGACTGGCCAAGTAACTTACATTTTATATGAATGTGTGTTACTTGATTGTTGTAAGTGTTGCAAATGCTTACAGCTG